ATGCACCTTGTGCCTGACTGAAAGCAACTTTTAACGAAACATAATGTGACCAAACATAATTAAGAGAGTACTTTACTAACACAGATTCTTAAGGTAGGTAAAATGCAATTAGACAAACACTTATTGGCAACTTGCTATGTATCAGATACAATTCTTCCTCTCTCTCCCCCACTTCTTTTTTTTTTTTTTGTGAGCATGGGATTGAGACAGGGTTTCACTATGTAGCTCAGGCTGACCTTGAACTCACTGTGTTGTCCTCAAACTTGTAGCAGTCCTCCTACTTCAGCCTCCTGAGTATGAGGATTATAGGCATGCCCCACCATGCCTAGAGGATACATTTCTGGATGTATAATTTCAGTTTCAAAACTCAGTTGATTTACCTTTTTAAAAATGTTCCTTTAATGTGAACTATTCAATCTATCCCTCCCTCCCTCCCTTCCTCCTTTCCTCCTTCTCTCCTTCTCTCCTTCTCTCTCCCGCTCATTAATCTCCACATTTAAGACATGGATACTTAAGATATAAGATATGGATACTTAAGATATGGATACTCCATGATACTTAAGATATTTTGGAAACAAGGGAATACACATTATCCACAGTCCCATCCTAATAAAACTCCATTTTATAGTGTGAGTTAGAAGGTTGAACTTACCATTTTTGAAAATAAAACCCTGAATGCTCCTGGTGTTAATTATTGTAAGAATTATTTCATAAACCAGTAGTAAAGCATAAAGTAATGACCTTGAATGTGCAGGTCTTATGCGCCCTAGGCAAGTCCTCTATCTACTAAGCTACATCCTCAACCTGTTAAGATTGTTTTTTTATATTGAGAGAGATTCTTCCTCTATTGTACAGGCTGGCCTAGAACTTGGGATCCATCCTGAGTAGCTGGGGTACAGGTGTGCACTATGGCCCTCGCTCCATAACTTTTAATCAATGAAACAAGCCATCTTTTTGGTGGACTGACAGAATTGACATAGATCATTGTTGGGGGCACAGCGGCAGATTGCAGCCTTCTAGGGATTGGATGTTTAGGAGGCTGCCCTACCTTTTATGTGTTCATACATTGAAGGGAATGTTTTTGCTTGTGCTAGGGGAATGGGATCGTTTGCTTATGTGAAGGCTGAGACCTTCCAGTGGGTGGAGGATGGCCTAGGTCCACTGTTGAGTGTCAGCAGAGTAGAGGGTGTGGCTGACAGTGCTGGCAGGGCTTAGGGCGGGCCAGTTGTCATGACCCAGAGGGTTCAGAGAAAGGGGTGGCTTGGGGGTGAAGGCAGAGAGATGGCACATGAGAACTGCTCTTGGAACCTGTAGCTGACCAGGCTGGGAGAGGCGGGCTGGGTCTGAGGAAAACAACTGGCAAGGAATCCCATGAAGAGCCTCTCAAGTTGTCTGCGAGGCCAGCATTCACTGCTGCCACTGTTGCATCTGTTATAGGCATTGTTGCTCCCACCCACGAAGTGGTTGAGTAGGGGACCTGGGGCTGTGGATCTCAGGGATAGGAGGTGGTTGAGGTGGAGGTGGCCTGCAGAGAAATGCTTGAGGTGGGTTATTCTCTCCAGGTGACGTGAAATGGCTTGTCTGGGGTAGGACAGCAGGAGGAAGGGAACCAGGATGTGCTGAGAGGCTCCCTAAGAACCATGGCCAGGGTTTGCTGCTGTGGGAAGAGAAGTCAGCCAGGAGCATGGAGGCCACACTGGGAGCCTCTCACAGAAGCAGGAAGTGGGTGAGTCCAGACCAATTTGCAGGGCAATAAAAGGTCCTGTTTCTGGAGTAAGTTGTGCAGCATGTGTTTTGTGTTCATTGCTCAAAAGCCTGACAAAATAGGGGCTGCTACCAGCCCTGCTTTGCACATGGAGAGCCTGAGCCTGAATTGAGTAGTCACTTGGCCCAGGGTTCGTGAGGTGCACAGCCAGAGTGCAAATCTAGACCGTCTTAATGCAAGCCACACACAGTGTGCTAAAACACTCTACCTGTGTATGTCGTATTAAGACCAACTCATGAAAAAATGGATTGACTGAAATATGTTGCAGTATAAATCCTTCGAGAACTTTTGGATCCAATTTACTATCAATATTATAAGCAGACTCAGTTGGAACCACTCCTTTGTAAAAAGGGGTAAATAATTGAAACACAGTAGTAGCACCTCCATTTGTTGCTGCTTCTATGTGCATTATTTACTGCCCTGGCTGGCTCTGGAAACAATCCCAGCTGCCCTGTGTCCTGATTCTGGCTGCTCCACTTACACGCAGAGCCTGGTGGATGCAGATTGTCTCACCTTATAGTGCTTCTCATCTCTGTGCTGCTTAATAACACTTAATGATTATAACTGACCTTACTATTTTCAGTAAATCAAGACTGCTTGGCAATGTTTTGGTCTCAGGTGTACTTTGCTTGACACAATGGGGCTATATCAGGGCCTCCAGGTGAAACCCCTGGGTAATAAACAGCAGGTGAGATTGGTTCTCTGCACACTGTGCAGGGAACAGTTTCAGTCCTTCTCTGCAGCACTTCTGGGTGTCCCCTGGCCCTGGAGACTTTCCTTCTATCCTCACATGTGCGCATATCTGTTTGGCAGCAGATTTTATTTATTTATTTTTATTTTCCAGTGCCATAGGCATCCAAGGGGAGGCCTGCGCTTGGGACCTTCAGCCCTGGAGCAATCAGAACTTCCACTCACCTGAGCTGTGCTCCTGGGCTTCCAGTGGTACCTGCAGGGAAGGGTGATGTTCATGCCCTGCGGTCTCGCTCTGTACCCACCATGGGAACTCCACCCTCTCTCTGTGGCTTTCTGACATCTTGTCTTCATTGCCTCTCCTTCCTTTTCACTGATCCTTTTTATAAAATCTTTTGTGGCTCTGTTGCTACTCCCTCTTGGCTACACCCTTGAGGCAGGTGCTTAGGTTTTTTCCTTTGATGATTTGGTCCTTTAAACAAAAATTTTTTTTAATATTTTAACTTTACAAGTCATCCCTGTGCTCTGACCATCTGAGCGGCAGATCATAAGCAATCCACTGCTGTGCAGTCCGCTTACCTGCCCCCGTACTGTGAGCCCTCAGGGCCGTGCTCTCCCGTGTCCCAATTCTTTTAGGGTCATGCCCTGAACTTGTAAATGGCCAGTGTGGGCCTTACTGTTGCTGCCTCATACCCGTGCTCTTTGTCCCTTCTGCCCCTTTCTTCTCTTGGCTTGGATGGCTTTCACTGTTCCCTAAGCACTCAGGTCAGGCTTTCTCCAGCCTGGTGTGTGTATGGAAGAGCGCACAAGTCCTGTACACGTGAACTCTTTGCTTTCTCTTTACTACTACTACTACTCTACTACTACTACTACTTCTTTCTTCCTCCTTCCTCTTTCTTCTTCTCCTCCTCCTCCCCCTCCTCCTTCTTCTTCTTCTTCCTCTTCTTTTTTCTTTAAGACCGGGTCTCCCAGCATAGTTTATGCTGGCTTTGAAATCACTATGTAGGCAAGTCTGGCCTCAAATTCGTGGTGATCCTCTTGCCAGCGGCCCGAGTGCTGGGATTACAGGGGTGTGCCACTATGCCCAACCCATTTTCTGAATGATCCTACCAAAGCAGTCAAAAGCCCCTCAGGAATTTTGTTGTGCTGTTGCCCTGGCCCTTCTCTCCCAGGGACCTTTTCTTCTACTCCCTCAGTAAATCATCCATGCAGCAACCTCCTGGGTTTTTATTCCACTAAGACCTATAAACCATTAATATATTCTTTTTCTGACTATCGTTTTCCTTTTCATTCTTAACTTCTTATTGTGGGTTTTTATCACCTTGCTTGCAAAGCGGTGCTCGCCATGCCTTTGCTCAGATCAGTGCAGTGTCTCGCTGTGCGTGCGTATCATTTTCCCTGAAAAGCATGTAGTGAGTCTGCGTGCTCTCTGGCACATGGCAGGTGTCACACCCAGATGTGCAGAGCTCTTGACAGTCCAGTTGCACCCTACCTAGCCTCACCTCTCATAGCCCCACAGGAGCCCCGACTTCCAAACCAGGCTGGTTCCTATCGCACCACAGGCCTCATGTGCCGTGCTCAGTGCCAGCCATTCCTCATGCCACCTTTGGCTTTGCCTCTTCTGTTACGGTCAAGGTGCCAGCTTCTTCTATTCATTCATTTCAAACCTAGAGCTGTGGTTCCGTTATTCTGACACCTAAGTAGTTTGTGTTTTAAGCTCTGAAGTACGTAATGGTCTTTTGCGGCAAACCAGCGTGTACTTTCTCCGGCACACCTAGCACGGTGAGTGCTTTTGCAGCTACTCGGATGCATGGATCATGCGTGTATGTGCATGAATGAACGCTTTGCCATGTCAATTTTATAAGGTTCAAGTTTTATACTCAGCATCTACAGTGTGTATCTTTATAAACTAGATTCACTGGTTTCTTACCTGGGAAATTTGTCTTGGCGTTAGGTTGCTGAAATTGAAAACCAGACTATGCCACATATTGTCTGGTTGTATTAAGGGGATGATGTTGTCTGTCTTATTGCTTAGAGATTTGTGAATGGTTCCCCTTTTGATGAACATTGTAATATAAGGAGAATTAGATGGAAATAAATGAATTGATAAAGCTTGAAGAAAAGCCCAGAGATGCTATGCCATGTACATTCTGCAGAAGGGTGATCAGCTGGTAATTTTTTATTTTTTTGGCTTCCAGAGTATGAAATTTCATTTTTAAGCTGACTGTCAGCATGTCAGAACCACAACAGTGTCCACAATCAGAATAGAAAGTTGACCTATTTGTATGTTTAACCCTAAGGAGGCTGTGCAATGCAGCACGTTCCTGGCTTGCACACCGGACCGTGGCCCAGGCTTACCTGAGGGCTGCAAACAGTGACTTTCTGGATGAATGTGAGATAGATCTGCCTCTCCCGCCATAAGCAGCAGGGCAGCCTCATCCTATTTTTATTGTAGAATGCATGGAAGATGGAACTCAGTCCTGGAAGAAATGCTTCTTTTTTGCCAAGGAATCATACTCAACACGATTCTTATTTTTCTTGGCAGGCTCTTCTCAACCATCTGCGAGTCCAGGGGAACCATCCCCCCCATCCATCCTTCCTGCACAGTCGGAGTTAATTGTCAGCGCTGGTGACCAGATCAGGCTAATATGCTCCGATCCAGCCTTTGTCAGATGGACGTTCAAGAGCCTGGATCCCCACTTGAGCGATCACAAGGACAGCGAATGGATCAGAGAAAAAGCGGAGGCCGTCCACACAGGCAATTACACGTGCATCAACAAAGATGGCTTAAGCAGCTCCATTTATGTATTTGTTAGAGGTAAATGCTTGGCTTCCTGTGATGCTGCTCTTTAGAGGACTTAATGTACGGTTCTTAATTTTGGATGACATGTAGTTGACTAAGCCACAGGTGAAATTTTGTTGGGTGGGTTTGGAAAGCCTACACCAAGTGTTTCTTTGTCGCTTTCCACCAGCTTTTGATGCATGGTAGCTTTTGAGTGTGACCGCAGCTGGAGGTGTGTGAGCGTATGATGTTCTTCCTAATGAGATTACAGTGTGTTTAGCCCATTTGTCCCAGTGCTCTAAGTAAACCCTGAGAATAAATTACGCCCTTTGGGACAGAGCATCTTTATGCCTTGAGTTTCTACATATTTTCTCTTAGTAAAAAAACACTTCAGGAAGCCAAAGTCCTATAAAGTCTCAGTAGACCAACACTTCAAAAGATTTGGCTCACTCATAGGGAGTAAATCAGAAAACACAGAAACAAAAAGCTGCTTGCTCAGCTAGGCACCCCATGTCTGTCACAAATTGTGTGTAGGGTTGATTTCCTTTAAAAGTTGTGATCTCTTAGAAGCAAAAGAAAAAGAAGTGTGGCCATTGTCTGTCTATTCCCCATTTCCTTTGACATTTAGTGACTCCTCTGTGCTTTTGCTGTCTTGCTGGGCAGGGCTGTATCCTTTGGTTGACTGAAAACTGAACTACTGACTGTTTAAGAGACAAATCCAAGTTACAGGAGGAAAAATAAAAGTCCTGGTTCTTTTTCTGGGTGTACCAGGCCTGGGGCGGTCATTAAAGACCAGCCTGAGGTAAGGAGCCTTATCCATGGTACTGGGGATGACTCCACAGATAGAATCCAGTTCCTCATTGCAGTGTTTGGGTAAGGAGACCTGTGCTTTGCCTTAGGGAACTGTGTGTGTGTGTGTGTGTGTGTGTGTGTGTGTG